CTCAAAGGTGCGATTGAAACCACCTTCCGCGAGCTTTCTGATAGATAACACATCGGACTCTGAACGGTTAATGGATTTCGCAGCTATGCGTTTTAGCTGGGGCACATCGAAAACCAGTTCCCGTTCCGCAAGGCGAAGGGGCTCATTGTAGCTTCAGTTATTTCATTAGTGATGCCTTGTAGTTCGAGTAACTAAGACTCACATCCATCTGCCTGAGGTATACCGGAATAGATCGTGAGCGTCACCCATTTGCACGAGAGGCGCCACAGGCGAGGAATGAAACCGGGAAATAGATTCGGTCTTGCAGATTCGTGGCGTTGGACAGATTATGTGCTTTTGAGTGTATCGAAGTGGAAATCTTCTATCCATAGGCATAAGACCTTTCAGCGCTCTTTTGAAGATTGATGTCATGACTCATAGAGAGAACAGGTTCTTGACATTGGCTGATCTGTCTGCTGGGAGTTTCAGCTTCAATCTTCTCCAGGAGTCTTGGCCAAGACGCTAGATTGCACAAACCTGACCTTGCCGAATTCAGAATCTGTCCACTCACATCACCCAGGAGATTCCAGGGTGCTGTTGCTGCCTAGCTTGCCACGTCACCTCTTTGAGGGGCCATTCTCAGCATTAAACATGGTTCTTCGTCCAAGGGCGATAGGTTTGATGTTTTGCCATCGCCAAGTTTGACCTCTCACTAAAGGCTCCAGGTTCCTATCCTCCCGTTTGTTTCCTGCAAAGGGTCTGATTGTCTAATGCCCTCACTAGACTCCTCCAAATAATATGGCTAACAATTGAATAGTTCAGACCAAAATGAGAAGAGCATACCGGGGCGTCGTTGAGAAAGCTATTGAAGGAAACACTTGGAAAAAATTTTCCAATCCAACTGCTAGTCGAGGTAATACGGTGTGGCCCAAGAGTCAGAACGACCAGGAAAGCATCGGCATTCGTTTCGATTATGACGGCGAAGTTTCCCGTTCAGATGGTGTATACCATAAATTCCAGATTCAACCCAATGCTGGAAAGATTCCTTCTACTTTCAAGGATTGGCGAGATAACCATGGAGGGACTCATGCCGTTATGGCTTCGGCCTTTGTGAAGAAAGACGGCACAAAAGAAGACGTGTGGAGCGGATTGGAACGCGCTGCAGATGCCATTGTTGGTGGCTTGGACTCGGACGACTAAGAGAGTGGTAACATGAGAATAATTGATGTTTTCCTGTTTCATTCTCTTGAGCTTGTCATCCGTTCCAATGGCTTGCTTCTCGCCTTGTGCGTGTGTGACTTTGTTCTACCTGCGACGAGCGACGATGTGCGAGCCATCAAGATACGGATTTCGGTTACTTCAGCTTCAGGCGATTATGATGCTGTACCTACTCTGCGAACAAGATTGTAGATTATGGAAAGTTTCCAAGTCTCTGCTGGTGATTGATCGAAGCCAGCTAGCTACCTCTGAGCAGGGCGCGTTTATGCAGGAGGCAGAGTATGTTTATGGATGGGGTGTCCATAAGATTTGCCCAGGCATTCTCCATATTTGTTTACGGATGCGCAAAAGCGGCAACTAGCAGATCATCATCTGGTCCTGGTTTGTTTTGGCTTGCAGCTTATGGTGGGGCTCCCGACTTACATCTCAGCCTTAACGTAATCCACCATCGAGCGGTCCAGCCGCGACCGCCAGCTATACCGACCCCTATCACCTGAATTGCTTCAACCACTGAATATGGCTCCAAAAAAAAAAACGCAGATTCAGCGGCTCATACGGCCGTATCCTCCTTGAAATTCGTTATCCGTTAGTTCCTTCTCCCATTTTCGAATAGGAATAAGTTTATATTTTCGGAAAATCTACCTATTTCCACCAGAACAAAGTTCAATGTTAATGCACTTCTGTGATAACATGCAAGTGCCTAGAGAGAATATTGGCAGTGGGTGAATCTTACAGAATGGATGGCCTTTGAAGAAATCCCAACATGCATTGAATCAGAAGTGCATAGACTAATGTCTCCTCATTGCCGTAATTAAACCCTCGCTCACCATACCCCACTTCATTCGCCTCTTTGAGCAGCCCATTTGCTTCCTACCCCTTCTTACCTCCCCTTACCCTTCCGTACCCCTTCTCAACACTCCCTACCACTCGTGCTCCTATTGTCTCTCTTCGCGCCTTTCTGTGTCTATTTGCTTTCCTCACAGTATGACGCGGAGAGTTAGAAAGCTAGCGATTTCAGCGATTCCCAACCTGCTTGATGCCCAGAGAAAGCTTTTCAGCGAGGTCAAGGAAGACCTCGTTGACTCCCAGAAGGAGCAGCTCGATTTGTGCCTACAGTTGTGGCGAACTTCGGACGCCTCGTCCCGACAATGGGCAAGGGCAAGGGCAAGATCATTCCTAGTCATGGTCTACAATGACAAGGCTCTCGGGGCTGAAGTCTTTTACTTTGCGGCCTGGGGATCAGCGTGACGCGACTGGGAACGATCGATCCTGTCGAAGCTTTATCTGAAGTGCGCAAGTGGTGGAGGCGTGTTGAACACCCTCGTGGCCTGGCAGAAACTGCAAAAGATTACGTGAATGAACACAAGGACGTATTTTCAACATTTCAAAGGTAGATGCTAATCCTAGTATGAATTCTGTCAACGCCAGTGAATGCTTATGAATCACAGAAAGCCAAATGCATTGCCACCTCCCACAATCGTGAATCTCTCACTCTCAGAGCTCTTCAACTTCCTCGAAACTAAAGTCAACTCCACGACTTTGAAAATGACATGTCACCTGTCCGGTCAACCCTTGCCAACCATCGACCTAGATTTAGATGGAAGAAGCGCAAAGATAGAGTTTTCGCTGGGAGCGAGCCAGGCGTTGATTCAGCATCTTCTTAGTTCGAGGAACCTTGCTGACGGAAATATCGCACTGATGGATGTTGATAGAACAGGCAGATCTGGCCAGGTTCTATAGTGACAATATAAAGTCGTTTTCCATTGCCAGTCACCACATTTGTGACTGGATTGCTATCAACTCGGACGGCACCCCAACTGCAGTTCTGTGTAACAAGGAGCGCTCGAACTGATGGGTCTGCGATCCCAGGATCTTTGCCGTCGGCATTGCAGACTGTCCAGTCCTTGTCTAAAGTAACAGTCACCGATGCCTCTGAGTTCTCTGACTCTCGCCATTCTTTCACCTCTCTCTGGGCCCTTTCTAGCAGCTTCTTTTCATCATGTGCAATTTCAGTAACATCTATGGCTTGAGGACCTTCAGCCATGGTCGCAGGGATCCCGTGAGATCGTAACTGTAGCGGAATATTCCGTAGATGATATATTCAGCAACGCCAAGTGGCCTTTGCGAAGATGGTTAGGAGGGTATCGAAGCGCCTATAATGCCGGTGTACGAGTTGAGTTTACTCGGTTGATTTATAAAGGAGTTGCAATGGCGAAAAAGGTGTTTTGATTCTGCATCAGAAAGATATTAGAATAATGCTTATATAGTAAGTCAACTCGTATGGTACGCACCTTCAGGCTGCCGGCAAATGTGGTCCTGTAGGAACTTGACAGGAAATTTTCAGTTATCATCATGTGAACTGGGAAGTTTCGATCTTTTTAGGACAATTTTCAAAAGCTGGATGTTTAGGCATTAATGCATCTAAAAAGAAGAGGACCTTATAAGAAGTAACTAGAAGGCCAGTAATCGAGGAGATTTTTGCTTTGGGCAACGGAGGGGCAAGAGGGACTCGGACTGGGCATAACCGTTTTTGCGAGCCCAAACTATGTCACGAGACTCTGGTTCCGACGCCCGCACCCGACCGGTAGGCGCCAGCTGTCACGACAGGGACATTGAGCATACCACACCTGGCCCACTAGGAAAGGACACGAAATGGTCGGCAGGCAGGGATCTTTTTCGCGGGGGAAAGAAAACCATAACGATGTCTAGCATGGAATAACTACATGATTTCTATACAAAGCTAATAATCACGAGAATGATTAAAACGCGTAAATGAATACAAATACATGCTACTTCAGATGTCGCCGCAACTGGTCCGCTGTCTCAGGTGGTGGTGCATCATCTCTTTGCGGCGTCTCTCCTGAATTGTCCGATGATATTCTAACCATTTCTGGTTGTGGGAGTCTATCCATGGGGTGGGAATGGCAAGTCCAGCCAACAGTGACAATGAGTAATACCTATAGAGTAATTAACTACCGGTCAGAGTTGAAATTAGAAAGACAAGCGGTTATACCTTACCTGATTAAGGTTTGCCCAAGTCCAGACGTATATAAGCCCTAAAGTAGCAACGATCGAGGCCAGCAGAGCAATCGCCAGAAAATCCAACGTTCGGCGCACCAGCAATACCCGAGATAGTCCGCCTTGTCGAGTCTGACGCAAGATATAGAGAGAGAGACAGGTAAGAAACACGTAATCCACAATGAAGGACACGGTGAGTAATCTGTACAGAGATGTGTGAAGGAAAGGTATGAGAATTAAGAGAAGAAGTTTCGTCATAACAGAGGCCAGAAAGTAAATCAAACAGAAGTTCTTGATGGCTTGTTCAAGAGACAGACTCCGTAGCACAATGACCTAACCCATTAGCAATTGCCAATCAACGTGAGAGAGGGGTAGAACAAACCTCAAAGACACCAGGAAATACCATACACAGTCCCAAAGGAAGTAAAAAGCGGGGATGGGGGAGGCAGTGGAAGTCCACTCTAGCCCATGGACACTAAGGACTAGTACTGCAACAGCAGCTGATAGGAACACTATGGAGGCAATGATATATATATTGTAGCGTAGACCAAGCCTGTTTGCATAGATACAAGAGACGACTTTCAACAGCCCGAAAATGACGATAGGGATAGAAAGAAAGGAATCAAGCGTGTGTAATCGAGGGAAATCCATGATGGAGGTCTTGCAATTCGCAATGTAGTCGTATATTTTGATTTGGACTGCGGCCCTAGCAGTTCTTATATTGAGAACATCTTTTAGTGTACAGAGCAATGTAGTTTTGCATCCTCCTTATCATGGCACTGCTTCAAACCATATTTGCGTGGTTGCAGTGACATGGGAAAAGCCATATTAACCCTGTTTGCACCCATATATGTTGTTTCATACTAGTTTGTACCTCTTTGCACCACTTAGTACCACTCTTAAATGGCAACATGACAACCAATGAGCTGCCTGCTTCGACTTTTAGCATCAGATGCTTCCAGCACTACTATTTTTATGTACAGAGTACATCTTCATACGTCATGGCATCTACTTGTACTATTCGCACTGCTACGTACCCTTTTGTACTCTTTAGCACCAAGCTGCACCACATTGCACCACTCACACTTGGCACAGACCAAGTATGCGGCAGCACAGTGCCAATAAGGTTGGTTGGCTCCATTACCGCTAAACGCCCCGATATTTCCAAAGATCATGGAATCAAGACTATATCTGCAACCTCTATTTCCTGGAAGCCAGCATGATGCTGGACATATTGCAGGTCGATTTCTGCAGACAATTAATGCACTCTACCGTCCAGTACGGAGAGCTGATGATCACTTTGATTTTCAGCTTTCGAAGTTACTTAGAGTTCTAGCCGTCCTGAAAAGGGAGCTGCCCTAGTTGTATGCAGCGAATAGCTTGGATATTGGACTTCGTGATATGCATTGCAAACTCGAGCAGCCTAAAGCATTCGGCAAGGTCCGCTGACGGGTTGGTATGCAGGGATCGATAGGGCCTATTAGACTGGACCTGCCTCTGCAAGTTTCCGAAGAACCGCCATAGATAGCTTCCATTGCGATAGTGACTAGATGCAGTTGAACAGCTAGCCGGTCAAGAATTAGGAAGTTATGAAATTGGCACCTCCGAGTTATCCTTGTCTGCTAAAACAAAATGAGCTGGAATTAGAAATGGAGACCTTGAGTGGAGCATGTTTAACGTTTAAAGCAGACGCGGGGGGTATCTTGAGCTCAGGTCTAACGTGTCTCTCAGTTGACTGACGGGCATAAAAGGAGGACAAAGTTCCCTCTGTGTAATTGTCCTTGCAATCTATCAGTACGATTCTCACACACTGTACAG